GAACTTTCTTTGAGGTTAGTTGACTTTGTGTATTAGGTGTACATAAAATTACCTGATTCTGTGTTTGGAGATAGCTTTCGCCCCATTCTGCCAGTTGGATCAAGCTTTTTGCTGTCATCATCTTAGGAAAATATTTCGTGTTTACCTTCCTAGTTAACGTGGATTTGGTATTGTTTCTGTCTGGTTGCGTCCTGAGCTAGATGCTTGACGAGGAGTTCCATGGAAAGCATTCAGGGCTTGGTTTTAACACCCTTAGCAGCTTAAATGTAAAACTCCGGCTGGGAGGAGTTCAACCTGTACGTCCCACTACACATGTGGCTGTCATAAATTAAAAAATTAAAATCACCCTAGAATAAGAGATGAATAGCTATGGGGCCAAATTCTGAAACACATTTAAAAATCTCTCATAAGAATGAAGTAGGTCATTTCTAAATGAATTTTTCTCTTTTTAAAAATACATATTTAATTAAATATTTGTGTTTCTTGGAAAAGAAAACAGCAAGGTTTTTCTTACTGGTATCTAAGCACTCAAAACCTAATATATGTTGGAGAAAGTCCCACTCCCAGGCTCACGTTACTGTTTTGGCTTTCATAGTCTAATATCATAAGGTTTTTTGTGTATGATATGGATCAAATCACATAAATCAAGAAGGTGAGGACAGCCCTTATGCTTCAGTGATATTTGTAGAATATGCCAAATTGGGGAAACTCAACACCACAGCACATGTTTTCTTTCAGCTTCTTAAATATAAAGGAAAGAAGTACACCTGTACTTAAGACTGACTATATAACATGACCATCTCAATTATAGTAGAGAGCTTTGCTCCCCTCCACATAGAGCTGTCTGTTCACCAGGGTCTTAGCTTAATGATTCCTGCTCTGTGCTGTTGATAACTGCATGGTGCAAGGAGTACATGCTTGTCTGCTTTTAGGCATTCGTTCCACAAATATCAAGCCCTCATAATATGCACAGCACTACGCTAGTACTTATGGAGACTAAAAATTCCTTTAACCCCGTAAAACATGGTTTAGAGAATAGGTATAGACATTGGAACTCAATAGCACGAGATACTGTGCAGGTAGGGCTGAGTCAGTGGCACAGGCAGAAGGCTGAGGAGAGCACCACAGGAGAAGTAGGATTTGGTCTGTGCTATCAAAGAATGGAGAGAATGTGGATTAGAAAGGATGGCTTTTTGGAAATTAAGCATGAAGGCCTAACTTGACTTCAAGCATCTATCTTCAATGTGTGTGTGTTTTGTGTGTACTTATGTTCCAGGCATATATTAAGCTGTTGTTGCTAGGAAATAACATCTTTCATCCTAGAATGTTTACTAAATTGCCTTTTTTCCAGAGTTAGCATATACTCCATTAAGACTGTTTTTCATTCATCATTTATTGAATATTTATCGAGTGTTACTGATATGCCAGTATGCCTGATGACAAGAATATTATTAGGACACTAGTAAGTACTCATGAGCCTCCTTTTATGTAGTGAGCCACCATTTCAAGTTTTTGCCCCAAAAGTACTTGACCATTTTTTTCATACCGTCTTAAGTGTGTACTTTTTTATTCTGGAGATGATTATAAACCTATTACAAATAGCATCATAGCCAACCAGTTTTTGGCCCCTACTGATTTATGAGGGAATAGAAAAAAATTAGAATACTACAGTGATGAAGGTCACTTGATTCTGCATTTTTTTGAAAAAGGAATGAGAGATGGGGAGTGAAATTTTTTTCTAATGCCTTCTATCGTAATTTCCATACTTTTATGCTCCTTGTTTAAAAATAATCCAAGCAAGGGGCCAGCCCAGTGGCGTGGCAGTTAAGTTTGCGCTCTCTGCTCCGGTGGCCCGAGGTTTGCAGGTTCGGATCCTGGGTGCGGACCGATGCACCACTTATCAAGCCACGCTGTGGCAGCATCCCATGTGAAGTAGAGGAGGATGGGCACAGATGTTAGCCCAGGGCCAA